TGGGGTAGGCCGATCAGTTGCCGCAGTGGCGGGCGCGGTGCAGGGGAGGGGGCACAGCGGCGGCGCAGCCGGAACAGCAGGGGAGCGGCGGGGCGCAGCGGTGAGGGAGCGTCGAGCCAGCAGGGACAAAGGCAGCACCGAGCGGGCAGCGGAGAGCGCAATGGGGAGCGAGCGGCGGGGAGCGCAGCGGCGGGCGAGCGGTAGCAAAAGCAGTAGCGAGCGAGCGGCGAAAGGGCAGACAGCGAGCGGCGAGGAACACACGAGCTGGGGGGGAGGGGGGGAGATACGCGAGGTGCTCCGACGGAGTGGTGGCGGATCGCCGCCTGGCCAATGGAATGGCCGAGAAAAAAACGTAAGGGAAAAACGCGATTAATCAATGTGGGAATTGTCCCAGAAAAAAGTAAAGGAAATAGTTTAAACAGTTCATTGATGTCTAGAAGAGCCTACGACCGGCTCTTCAAACCCAACCGAACCTCCGGGCATTCGGAGCGCTGTTCGTGAAGGATTCCGCGTAGACACGTCTGTTCAAATCTGCCTCCGAGCAGGCCCACGCGCTAGTCGCATGGGACTGTCCGTTATATACTAATTTACTGTAACCCTAAACAAGGCAAGTTCTTTCCTCACCGCGTGACCCATTCGCGTGGTGAGGTATATCGCCATATGAGAGACATTATGATAGAAACTTTCACACTGAGGGTGTGTCTTAACATGCCCCGTTTTTCTGCAGTTTGCTTTGCTTTGCCCAAAGAGGTGATTTGGCGTGCTATGAGAGGCTCCTACGTTTTAATTTTTGGGTTTGAGAAAAGCAAGGGCTTAAGAAGCATACGGTATTTGTTTAGAATTTAAAAGTATTCCTGGCAAAACCGGGCAAGGCTGTGGTTACATCCAGACGACAGTACGGCACCCCACAGTAATAACACATAGCCAATAGGGCATACCGTAGTCGCAACGCAATAAAGTCTCCGACGGCCACCCGCTCCCTCGGGGATCGGGGGGTATCGGAGTTCACGGAACCACAAAGGCAAAGCAAAAACCAGCCTGTCAAGAGTCTTAACAGGCTGGTTTTTTCTTTGCAGAGAGTCATTCCTCCCTCATGTCGTTGGTCAGCGGCACCTCCCCTTTTGCTCAGAGCATCCCTACCGGTAGAATCAAATACCCAAACAACCAAAATTTGATGATTTGATGTCGATTGAAATCCCCACCGGTGCAACCAAATCATCAAATTCTTGGTGTCGATCTAAAAATCGGAACCAAATATCAAGAATTTGGTTCGGATGGTCTCTGTTTGATTACCCTTGACAATCCAGTTGTGCACGTTCTATTGGTCGACCGAAACGGCTTCCCACCAAAAGTGCATCGATGCGGTATTTGCCTCGAGATTACCAGTGTCTCCCGCCGATCCAGAATGCCCACTACGGCGTGCATGCTCTTCCCCCTTCCATCCCTCCAGAACGTCGACGGCCCCGCCATCCCTGATGCTCTTCCCCCTTCCATCCCTCCAGAACGTCGACGGCCCCGCCATCCCTGATGCTCTTCCCCCTTCCATCCCTCCAGAACGTCGACGGCCCCGCCATCCCTGAGCGCGTCCTTCCCCGCCCGGCTCTTACACAACAACAACACTTCCTCGACCAACCAGGCGCGAATCTCCGCCATCTCCTCCCGTCCCACCTCCTTTGACCTCCCCAAGCACATTGCGACCGCCGCCGTACCCCCACCAACACATCATGGCACTCGTCCGCCATCGCGCAGTTCCGCACCCAGCTCGCCCCCGCCAGCCTCTTCTCTGCCTCCCCCGCCTCCAGCAATCTCAGCAACCTCGTCAACAGCTGTCTCTCCGCCTGCCTTCCGTCGACCAACAGGACGTCCCTCCCCTCCTGGCTCGCGCACGCATTCGACAGCCGCAGCACATTCGGAATACTCGGTCGGTACCCTCTCCACGAGCACGAGTAGCGTGCCCCTCTCCCGAAACCCGTCCGCGCCCTCCGCTTCGTCCACGCCCGGCGCGAAGCGCGTCAGGTTGGACAGCAGCGCCGCGTGCAGCGCGACGACGTCCGCGTCCAGGACCACCTGCGCTGCGAGCCGCACCGCGTCCGCGTACGTCAGGGCCGCCGCCGCCTCGTCCTCCGACAGGTTCACAAGCGCAGACAGTGCTAGCGCAGTGCGATTCGCTGCTCAGCAGCAGCAGCCGCCGCAGGAGAACGTCGCTCGCGGCTGTCGAGCCAATCATCCGCCGCAGCACCGCTGCCGCCGGCGCGTATGTTCTCTCCGGGATCGCGCTGCTCGCGGTCGCGTGGGGAGCGCGTGCTGTCCGTGAGCAGGGAGGACAGCGCCGGCAGTCTGTCTTTGTCCACGGTGGAGGTGAGAGGGAAGGAGTGCAGACAGAGTGGCGAGGGAGAAGGTCGCGGGATGGGTTTCGAGTGAGCGTGCGACTACGACTTGATTGCCAGTCCTAACAGGCGCTTTTCTTTTCTTTTGTTTTCCTTCAACCAGTTGCGGTCACGCTATTGGCCGGATCATTTCATTAAATTAATCGCACGCCACAACGAATGCTACACAGAACCACTGTAATGCTTGGTAATTCTGCGAACTGGTCGAAATCCATTGGCTAAAGGAAGTACCAATCCACACCCAGTCCATATGCACACTACTAAAATTCCATCGACTCGATGCGGTGCAGTGGCACTTGCAGTACAATGAAAGGGTGGAATTAAATCCAAATACGAGCACATGCAGATCAAAACATTAGTTCTCTCAACATTACAAACCAGACACAGTACCTTCTCCCGCCATTTTATGTGCACAACTCGGCCCTCCCCCGCCTCGACGCCCACGTGAAATTTGCGACAGTCGTTTGCTACTGTAGCATTTTACACTCTGTTTAGGAAACGGAGCACCACCGGACGGCAGAAGGGTACCCAGAGTTCAGCACCCAGAGTTCAGCTTTTTGAAATCAAATGCCTCCTTGGCATCGATCATGAAATGGAGAGAAGCCGGGGAGGCTGCTCTCTAGTTCATGATCGATGATGAAGTGGCTTCGCCGAAATCCCTTTCCTGTGAACCACCCCGCCCTCGCTCCCTCCCCCCCGCCACCAACCCCCCTTCCCCCCCAAATATGCGCAGAGAATAAATATACTTTCCCGAATTGGCGACATATGTCTA